CAAACCATTCTGTGATTCTATGATAAGTAAGTTTCTGTTCTTACATAAGTCATTGATGCTTTAATTTGTGAAGGCCACCGGTTGCTTTGGACTTATTTTAACAACTTGGAAGGGCCTGGCTTGGAAACACGATTTTTATGTTGAAATGTCGTTAAGATATCTGATATTTCTTGAAGAGTGGATAAACTGAAGTCGAGGAAGGAAATGATCACTTTTTCAGTTTATTAGGAGGAGCAAAGTGAGTTTAGAGAAAGATTCTTTAATGCATTTTTTCTGTAAGGTCAATAAGTTTGATCTTCAGAATAAAGAAATAAAAGAAAAAGTAATATAATATAATATAATATGTATAGTATAACAATATATCGTATACTATAAAATTTAATTGAAAGTTCTCCTGGTTGACTCAGAGCTGGGGTTTTGTCTCCCTGTTTCTCTGTCTTCTAGTCTCTTTTGTTTTCCTGTGCAACTGCAGCTATTCACAGGCAGATGGTCTAGTCAAGGTGTCCAGTGCCTGGACTTTCATCTTTCATAGTTTTATTTTTTAAATTTGAACCAAAAAGTAGGTTCAGATATAACTCGTCATCTGAATTGGACCAGGCGTATCCCATAAAAGTAGCAGGGTAGCAAGTGAGAAGGTGAATTTTCAAGTTTTCTGTTATATCAAATTCCATGTTAAAATTGCCCAAGAACAGCAAATCAAGGATACTCCATCATTGTTACTGAGAAGTGTTGGTGAATACCCTTTAGGAAACCTTTCATCTGTGGTTGTCTGTAGATGAGTACAAAAATCATGTTTGCTTTGGTTCTGTTTTCCACAGTTACAGTCAAACAACTCCAGTCATACTTGAGTCATCTTTATGTGATTTGATAGTTAATGCAATATTTAATGTAAGATTTGGTGATTATCTTAATTCAGAAGGTGAATAAACAAGTATGGAGCTCTGTAAATACTTTCAGGACCACCAAGTACTTTGTAGCTTACTGCTTCTGGGCTGCACTTTGGGTAGACAGAGTTCTTTTAGTGAAACTTGCTTTGAATTAGGCTATTATAATTGTACCCCTGTGTAAACTCTTAAGAGATGTATTAATTCAATACAAAAGAGAGTTTATAGCTGCTTTGTCATGATTAATTACTTCACTGTCACACTATTTTCAGCCAGAACCAATACCCAGGCACAACATATAGGATATTATCACCTGGTCTGTTGGGTCCCCTGGCAGGACAGGAGTTGCCAAAGTAGCCTGCAACATATTTCTTCATCTGTGAAGCCCTGGTACCTGTACTGGGGACTGTGACCACAGTGTAACGTTCAAGGGTCAGGCCACCCAGCTGTATATAGCCCATAGGGTCACTGACATGGAAAGGGACATGGCACTGCATTGCAGAGATGCATTTTGCAGTCTTTCTGAGGGGGGAAATGGTGGTGCTGTGTGATTCTTATATTATGTGAGGACGAGGTTTGTAGGATTTCTGTACTGATGGGGGTGTGTGTGTCACATTTCTTAGACATAGTTAAAGATCCCTTTAGTCCTGTCCTTTATTTTCTGCTTTTACTCTATTTCTGTATTTGATTACCATGCTATGTTACGTTTGGGGACAGAAATTAATGCACAGTATGACATGCAGAATGAAATTACATTGTCTCGAAACTGTTATGCAGCTGACAGTTTGCTTGCTGTGCATTTGCTTGTGTGAGTGGCTGTATGCATGTGTGTGTATTTATTTTTATTTTTAAATACTACCAGAATGAAATAATTTTGCAAGAACTGAATGTATTCAAAGCTGTGGGATATTGGCCTTGCCTGAGAGTCAGGTTTCCTAACTCCATGCAGCAGGTGGCATTACAGAACAAGTGATTTTTTTTTCCCTTTCCCAAAGAAAAAATGTTTGGTTAGAACTGCACCTCACCATTCTATAGAGAAAGTAATTAAAAAACCCTTTAATATACAGACAGTAGGTGTAAGAGACAATATTATGTGTAGCAAAGTCTCTTTGTTAAAGAATATCCAGCTTCAGGGCTTTTCCTTGTTGTATCCTTGTAGACAGCAATGGTGGGTTTTTTAGGATGGATCCTAGTAGACATGTAACAAAAGGGGACAAATGCATCTGAAAAATCTCTGCAATAATTTTTCATCAGGCAGCAGCAGTAATAGGGCAGCTCCATAAGGGAAGACAAGCCAGGAGCCCCGGATAACCACCACACAGGCAGGTGCAGGGACTTCACTGACCAGGGCACAGTCCCGCAGTGCCTGAGCAGGGAAGGTTGGTAACAACTTGTTCCATCAGCTGTCCAGTAGCCATCAGACAGGGTGCAATAACAAACTGGGTCCAGGGTCCATCTAGAAAGTTCAGTGGGGATGGAGGTAAGATTATGGATAGTTCTGGGGTCCTGCAGGAAGTTCAATCAGCAAGTCAGGATAACAGGGGATAGGGCTGTGCCCAGCCCTACGTATAACAGAGCTCAGGCAAAGACTGAAGATTCAGACCTACCTGAGCTGAAATGGAGCTCCTGGACTGGAGGACAGCAAGTGTGATTAGAAGCTGCAGGTAAGGCTGGTCAGGGCAATTAAGGCCTACTGGTGCAGTCAGGGCCCTGATATTCCTCATGCAAGAGGGAGAACATCAGTTAAAGGACTTGCTGCCACACCAGTGAAGTCCAGGAACATTCTTCATTTGTTTTTAAAGATAGTAGGGTTGAATCTTTCATGTTTTAAATCTGATACCTGTCTATAGAATTACTTTAAACTTTGCTTCATTATTTATGGCATTGTGGTATTTGTGTGTATTTCGTTTGCTTTTAAATTTTGTAGTTAAGTCCATGTGACTATTTATTCTCTTCAAATTCTTTTCTTTTGAAGCATGTTTTTCCTTATAATATCACAGAAGTTAGTTAGAAACAGTTCAGGAAAAAGATTACACATGGAATTCAACTAAATTTCATGGGAGATTGGCAGTATTGCCATGTCTGAATCAAATCACAAGGAGCTAATTTTTTCTCTGTTATCATTGTTCTTTATATGTGTGACTTCACTGATTTTGTTGAAGAGTTCTTCCAATATTACATGGGTAAAAAAGACCAATAAATATAACAATATTAAAATAAGTGATTAATGGGCATGAAAAAAAGGTAAAAAAGGAATGTAATAATTAATTTTTTTTTTTATCTTTGCTGTCTGCAAAAACTGACAAATACTGATTTGGTTATATTAGCTGATCACAGTAGAAGATGGGACAGAGTAGAAGAGGGACAGAGAAGAAACATAAAAGGGACCTCAAGGGGATTTGGACTAAGATGGGAGTTCCTAGAGGAACATCTTCAAGAGCAAGAGAAGATCAGACAAGGAACAGAAGAGAGAAGGGGAGAAGGATAATATGAGCAGAACACTCCAGAGCAAGGATAAAAGAAGAGAAAACATGAAAAAGAAAATAAAATAAAGGAGAGAGAGAAAAATATGTATTAATAGTATTATTATTGTTTTTTGAGTACTTTCTCTTCCATTAGCTTAAGCATCTTAAGGAATTAATATTGCATATAAACTCCCCTTGATTTATTTCACCAGTGCTACAGGTATTGGCATATAAAGTATGGGGATTCAGGGGAGCTCTGGGCATAGTTGTTCAACATTGCAAACACACAAATGCCTTTTCTTGGACATGTACTTTATTTCTGCATTTAGCACTGCCATCATAGAATCACAGAATCATAGAATAGCTTGGTTGGAAAAGACCGTTATGATCATCTAGTCCAACTTTAAACAAACAGCTTAAGCCAAACTGAGTTCCACCAGCCCAGTGGAATGAATTAAGCACCTTTGGACATTTGTTTGTAGCACCAGTTAAAGTACTGATCCAAGTCCTTGCTGGACCCAGGCAATAGGAAATACTAGTCCAGTGCAGTGCAGTTGGGAAGGGAGGAGGTGCCATCCGTGAAGTTTCTGCATAAACTTAGTAGCCTTTATCTCTTGTGAAATGGACATGGATTACATAGCTTTCCCACTACTGCTCTGGAAAGCTGCCACTGTAGACTCTTCTATTTTAAACCTGGTGCCATGATACAGAAGAAGGAGTACTTGACTTTACCAGAACACATTAATTTCATGCTGTGGATGCTAATGTCTGTTTAGAGCTCCATGGCCTGTTCCAAATAACAGTTTTAAGTGTGACATCAGATTCCTCCCTCTGGAGCAGCAGGATGCTATTCTCCAACAATTTTTGACCTATGAATTAATTGTTATAAAATGCTACAATGTTTCTGTCACAAATGTAGTGATTGCTGACTCTGTGCTTTTCATTTAGGTAGGTGTCTCTCAAGCTCATCATTGGCAATTTCACCCGCTCTATCCATGCTATATGCATGTTTATGCTTCTAGGTGCTATATACGATATTATTGAACATTTTCTGCCTTATGGTTGCTGTAAGACTGTAGGATTCTTTGTAAAGAAGTTTGTATATCTTTCTTCCAAGGGGTAGTTCTTTTTCTGGGTGTCATTAATGCACAGCCCAATTTATTTTGAGTTCTTACCTCTCATTTTACTCTGTGTTCATACTCTCTGTTCTTATCATGTTATAGTAAGTTATAGAACATGCTATATTTTATATATAAATTATTTTTGTTTGATCTGATGTTTTAACCAAATATTTTTCTTTTTAGGTTTAGCCCAATCAGGTGCATGGGGTTGCTTTGATGAATTTAACCGCATTGAACTTCCAGTTTTATCAGTAGCCGCTCAGCAGATATATATTGTACTTCAGTGTAAGAAAAATAAGAAACCTCAGTTTGTTTTCACTGATGGCGATGTTGTTGACATGGACAGAGAATTTGGTATATTTCTGACTATGGTATGTGTGTGAATACGAGTAAATGGCATAATTGTGAAAAATCTTTCAGATTTTATTTCCCATTTAAATTTCCCTGTTGAAATCATTGGAACTGTCTGCTAGAAAATAGTGATTGCAATTTGAACGATAATTTGGTCTAATAATAATGATGATATTTTCTCTTCCCCATATTTTTAACTGGAACTTATGACTTGAGGTATGCAATTATCATTAACTACATATTTTAAGAGCTTTTTTAGTTGAATATTTGACAGATTGAGACTAAACCCAACCATCTCATATTTTTAGTCAAAGTCTGTCAAAATAAAACAGAAGTAATTGACCGGTGCAAGGACTACTTTAGTTGTTCTGGTCAGTATTTCACTGCTTATAAAGAACTTTTGACCACAGTCCTTCTGTATGACAGCATAAAGGAAACCACCCTCACTCTGGTTCACTGGCCTCCTGAAGATTTATCTTTGGTGCTTGTGGACTGCTTCTAGCAGTGCAGGAGGCAAAGAAGCAGGAAAGCGTAACAGTACCTTAAAAACCTCTTGATATCTCCCCCTCCTTAGCTGTAGGCTACATACTCACAAGTCCGAATGGAAGCATTTGACTTTGTTTCAAGGTTTCCTACCTTTGAAAAGGTGCTAATGTTTCCGCTTTAATTCAAAAAAGAGGAAAAAAATAGTGGCATACAAAGGCCGATGGGCAGGCAGTTTGAAAACAGCTGGAAGAATTTAGGAAGTTATCGCTGCATAGCCAGCGACTACTGTTCTCACAGCTGAACCATGCAGTAGTCACATGAATGACTTAAACATCTTCAGTGAAAGGTCAGATCCCTTAGTTTAAATTATATTCAGTAATGGCTTGCGCTGCTCGACTGACATTGCACTGAAGTGGTCTGGGAAGGCTCAGGAGGGACAGTAACCTCCAGCACGGGAACACTATCAAGACCCAGAGGAATTAACCATTTAAAACAGATCCAGGAAGATGTGTAAGTGCTTGTCTGTCTATGTGTGTCTTAGGCATCTCCAAATAACATGTGTGATACCACATCCTTCATGAACTGCAGTATTTACGCAACTGTGTAGTGATGTGCAGCTGTGACATGCTCAATTTATCCCTTTTAATCTGACACGTGCTCCTGTGCTTTCCAAATAATTATCAGAAAAGACAAACCTTCCTATCCTGCTTTCATTTTTTAATATTTTATCTTATATTTTGCGATTTTCAGAACCCTGGCTATGCAGGACGACAGGAACTTCCAGAAAATCTGAAGATTCAGTTTCGCACAGTTGCTATGATGGTGCCTGACCGTAGCATTATTATGCGAGTGAAGCTGGCAAGTGCTGGTTTCCGAGACAACCAAGTCCTTAGTCGAAAATTCTATACACTCTACAAACTCTGTGAAGAGCAGTTATCTAAACAGGTAAAATAAATATTTATCCAACTGTAAACTGTCACTGGAAGGGCATGTAGAAATTATATTTTAATAGAATATATAATCATGAACCTATTCATTTTTTAGAATTTTCAGTTTCAAGTTCTAGAAACAGTCTGCAATCATCACATTTTTATTTTTCAAACTAATTTGTGTAGTAATGGAAGTTTGATTTGTGAATTTTAAACAGAGTGCAGTTACTGGTAAAGTTATGAGGAACAGTGTACAGTGCTCTGCTGAACTTTGTATAAGAAACATTTTCAGCCCCCTCACTTATGAAGACTAGAACTATTGGAGAGACAGTGTAAGAATTGTAAATAACTGAAGAGTGCCTAGAAGCTGCTGTTTTGTTGAGTGCTTCTAGGTGCTATTCTGATTGGTATAGGCTATTTAAGCAGAAACAAAGGGTAAATCTGCTTTTAAGAACACAACTAGTTGTTGCCTTTTGCCAACACAACTGTGCTGCCTGTCCACTAGAGGGTCTCAAAGAGAGACCGTATGAATGGTAGGTAAATTGCAGCTCAAATGAGAAGCCTGCTTTCGTTGGATCCTAATAAACCTGAGCATATTGAGTACATTCTCCATTATATTATTTCAGTTCTATACCACGTATTATTAGTGACTATGTAGAAATACTGGACTACACCAAAATAAGATAATGGTGCATCATATTGCCCTTATTATTTCGGAGTTAAAACAAAAAAGTACAGATTTGGATTTTCTCTTCCTTTCTCCATACCTCTGTAATTTCACTCTCCATATATATAACCAAACTGAATTCCAATTTTCATTTCTCTCAGGTTTCTTTTCCTGGGAGAGTTTTACTCACCAGTTTTATGTTGTAGACTTGACTTCTGAAGGATCGTATTTGGTAGTAGCTTCCCTGTAATATTGCTGAGGGTGTCTCTATTAGCCTTCAAATTAGTTTTTGGGCAATGTGAATCATCCTGTATTGATCTAGCATCTCTAGTGTTAGTCCATTTTTTGCTGTCCAACCCTATCCTTGAGTCCTGTTGTCTACCTGTGTTTTATAGTTACCAGGCTTATAGGCTGCATTTGTCAGAAGATCCTTTTCCAAGAGCTCTCTTATAAGTGGAATTTGCAGACATTGTTTAGCAAAATTTGTGTACCCACAGTTCCAGTGATTACCAACATAGACTGTCTCCAGAGTATTGAATATGGATCTCTTTTTTTTGGCCTCAGTAGGGTTACATTTTTCTCATTGCCTCAGTTTGTGTGGTTGTTTTTGTCCTGGACACAATTCTTTGTTTTTAGAGACATTTAAGCGGACATCAGAAATTTGGCCATTTACCTCTGCAAAAGTGCTTTGCTTGTTTTGTATTGGAGCTATTTTACTCCTGGTCAGAATACTTAAAAATAACACACACCCCCAGACAAAACTTAACTATCTTAATGGTATACAATATTTTGTACACCATGATTGCTGCATCTGCACAAAGAGTTTCTATATGTAGTTTGGTCATTTCTGCAGCAGAAAGTGCCCTCGAGTCTCTGAGACAGCAAGATTCTCCACTCAGCATGTTAATCAACATATTGAAGCATGTAAGTAGTGTTTATCAGTTGGTTTAGGGATTGTAGAAAGTGCCTGGAGGACACGGTGGAACAGCCTGAAATTCTTATCTGGAGAACTCCTGTACCAATTAGTCAAATGCTTTGTTGTGAAGGTATGTATCTTGATTACCTTTTCTCAGGTCAGTCCTTTGCCTCATCTATGCTGATGCTAGCAAGGGAATCCCTTCCTATTAACTAATGGAAATTAATGACCAAGTGCAATGGGTGTGCACATGGGCGCAGCACTCACACACAGCTATATCACAATTACATATTTGAATTTTATGCTTATATCTCACTTATAACTTAAATTCCACAGTTCTTGCCATACAAGCCATGATGTCTGTGAGGAACAGTCTTCCATGTGTATTTATAATTTCTTCAAGACCCTCTAACGCTTCTCCAGTATCCATCAAAGCAACCTGCTATGCTGATCTTTGCTCCTCGTGGTTTGTGGTTCTATGCTTTGTAACATGAGCCAGGGAGCGTAGCTTTCTGCAAACCCATGGTAGTATGCTAGTTTGTCCTGCTTGTGCCTGTTGGCAGCACTTTGGACAGTCCTGCTCTTGTATAAATCCATTATATTCAATTATAAAATCAGAGAAGAACTGAGTTTGGAAGGGACCTCTGGAGGTCAACTAGTCCTATACCTGTGCTCAAGATGGGGTCAAATAGAGCAGGTGGTTCAGCACCTTGTCTAGGTGAGCTTTGAATATCTCCAAGGGTGGAGACTGCACAGCCTCTCTGGTCAAGCTGTTGAAGTGTTTGACCACCCTATCTAGTCACCATTTTGTCTGTGAGGATGTTATTTGAGACAGTGTTGAAATCTCCTGCAATGCCTCTGCCCTACTGTGGTGCCCTACCTGCAGATATTGAGGTGTGCCAAGCCCCCAGTGAGGACCAGGGCTTGTGAAGATGAGACTAATTCCAGTTGTCAGAAGAAAGCTCATCAACTTCTTCTTCATCAGGAATTTTGCAGCAGACATCTTCCACAATGTTGATCAGCCCTCTAATTCTAACTCAAGTGCTCCCAACTGGCTCATCAGCCATCCTAAGGCAAATCATTCCCACCCATTCACTTTAAAGGCAACTCCCCAGCAGGCCCTCCTGGCTTGTCCTTCCTAAAGGACCTGTATCCATCCATTGTAGCACTCCAACCTTGTAAGCTATCCCACCACATTTCTGTCATCCCAGTTAGACTGTAGCCCTGTAGCTGCACACAGAGCTCTGATTTCTCCTGTTTTGTTCCCTTGCTGCATACATGAGTGAACAGGCACTTCAAATTGGCACTACTTGTGCTGGTTACACAGGAAAGGTATGAGAACTTCTGCCATGATGCTGTCCCCCCCACCCTTCCTTATCTGCCTGTTTACACTTGAGATGGGACACTTTCCACGGTTTTCCATTCTTGAGGTTGCTCTTGTCCACCTCAGACTACATCTTTTGCTTTTCAATTGGGTCCACCACTTCCTCACTTGAATGTGAATTATTTCCCTCCCTCATTGTTCATAGTTAGTTGTAGTAGTAATGGGTTATTTTTAAAGACTTGCTAAAGTTCCTTATGAAATTTATTATAGGTTGGGGAATACCTGTGATGTGATATGTGACTGTATGTAGCGGGAGATCTAATAAATTAATCTGATTAGATGTAGGAGTCCCGTGATTTGTAGGTATTTCTAAGAGTAAAGTGGGACACAGTGGATACTTCTAAGAGTGGAGTGGGACACAAATTGCTTCTGTCTAGCCAGAAAACTAGAACTATAAAGTACAGACAGGCTTTCTTAGAGGCATAGTAATCTGTCTTTCCCCGTGGAACTTATTTATTTAAATTTTTAATGGTAAATTTTAAATTTGATGTAAGTACTGCTAGGTATCTGGGCAGTTGACTGGAAAGAACAGGATCATATAAAGAATCAATGCAATAGGAAATGGCAGAACATTGCCTGTTTTCAGCAAATGCCATATACATCAACAGAAGAAAATAACAACAAACAAGTATTCAGCAGCTGAATTTACCTTCCATAAAATCTAAAAGAAATTTGCCAAAAGGCATACATGATGTCCTCCAGACATATTACACACACAAATGCACATTTTCATTTGCAGATTTTTAATTCTTCCTTAGAATTTGTCAAAAGGAATACATGAAGTCCTCCAGACATATTAAACACACAAATGCAGACTCTGTAGAAAGAGGAACTCTGACTCACAAATAGCCAAAGGTACCCTGAATGACTCTCATCTCCTTTAGTAAAGAAAAACATACAGAAACAAATGAGTAATTCTTAGCAAATGTAGGAAGTCCAAGGTGTCCATAAGCCTGTGAAACAGTTATTCTGACAGAGCCCCCAAAGCTGAATTATTTGCCTTCGTTATAAGACTTCTAGCCAAAGCTCCCTACTGCCTCCTTCACAGAGCCTCATCCAGATTAGGGAAAACCATAGAAACTGAAAAGAAAAATCTAAAAAAAACAATGAGGCCATAATCCCTCTTTGAGGATCATCTGTTTAAGGTGCTTTTGTATGGAGAAAACCACTGATACTCTTTTTTTTCTTTTCCCCACAACAGCAAATTATGGTTCTAGTGTTGAGATTTTCATTTGCAGATTTTTAATTCTTCCTT